TCCGGAAGTCCATCCTCAGGAGTGCATGATCTGACCATGACAAGGGCTCTATGACTATCTCCCCCATTTCCAGATCATTCTGCCACTGGCCAGAGACAAAAATCAGATCCAGTGTGTGACCTCCTATGTGAGTGGGTGCATGAACTAATTGGGTCAAGTCCATGGTCGTCATGGAGGCCAGGAACTCCCGAGCCACTGCTGACGTTTCGCCCGCCGATGGCAGGTTGAGATCCCCCATGACTATAAGTCTGGGGGTCTCCACCGCCACCACGGCTATCACGTCAGCTAGCTCAGGCAGGGCCGTTGACACATAGCAGGGGGCCAGGTATATTATCAACAGGCCCACTTGCACCCCTTGCCCCCACTTCACAAGGAGGGACTCAACACCGTCTATCTGAGGCACAGTGGTCTCCCTTGGACACATCTCTATAGAAATAGAGCACAACGATGAAAACTGTCTTGAATGCATTTAGGTCAATGTAAAAGGGGAAAAATGACATTGCCATAGGTGTATACAATAGGCCACCCAACCAGAGGAAATAGATGGACTTTTTGCTAGTCAGTTAACTAAGGAAGCACATCACAATAGTAATGGGGGACTTTAATTACCCTGATATCAACTGGGAGACAAACTCTGCACCAAGTGGAAGATCAAATAGATTCCTGGCAAACCTAGCAGACAACTTTGTCTTCCTAAAAGTAGAGAAGGAAACTAGGGGATCAGCCATATTGCACTTAATTCTCACTAACAGAAATGAAATGATAGAAGCTGTTGAAGCCACAGGAACATTGGGGAGGGGGAGTGATAATGCAATATTCGAATTCAACATTATGCAAGCACAAGCAATAGAACACAGTCAAACTAGAGTCTTGGACTTCAAGAAAGCAAATTTCAATAAACTTAGAGAGAGCTTGGGAAGGATTCCATGGATGAGAATCTTCAAGGGAAAACAACTCTGAAGCTTAGGAAATTTTGAAAAGTGAGATTATAAAAGCCCAATCTAGCACAATACCAATGAAGAAGAAAAATAACAGTTCTGAAAAGAAACCAGCATGGCTGCATAAAGAACTCTCTGATAAACTGAAAGACAGAGAGGACAAGTATAAAAAGTGGAAAGAGGGGAACATAACTAAGACAGAATATCATCAAATAGCCCAAGCCTGCAAAGATAAAGTGAGGAAAGCTAAGGCTCAAAATGAATTTTTGACAAAAGTAAAAAATAACAAAAAAAAGCTTCTTTCAACATATAAAAAACAAGAAAAAATTAAGGAAATGATTGGTCCATTAGTGGGAGAAAGTGGCAAGAAGTGACAAGTAAAAGGAAGGAAGCAGAACTACTTAACTTGTTTTTTGCATATGTCTTTACACAAAGGGAAAAAACAGTCCAACCTATCAAAACCAATACCGTAAAAAACATTAGAAACACAAGTTAAGATAGGCAAGGAAATTGTAAGTGAGCACCTGTCCACCCTAGACGAGTTCAAATCACCAGGACCAGATGGATTGCACCCCAAAGTTCTGAAGGAACTGGCAGATGTGATTTTAGAACCCACTGAACTACATCTTTCAAAGATCCTAGAGCACCAGAGAACTACCAGGACTGGAAAAGAGCTGATGAAGGTCCCATCTTCAAAAGAAAAAAAATGGATCCAGGAAACTACAGACATATCAGCCTGACTTCAATACCTGGGAAGATTTTGGAAAAGATAATTGAGCAACGAATCAGCAAACACCTAGAGGCAAACAATATCATTACCGAAAGCCAACATAGGTTTGTCAAAAACAGATCATGCCAGACAAATCTTATTGCATTCTTTGACCAGGTGACAAAATTAGTGGATATAATTTACTTGAACATCAATAAGGCATTTGATAAAGTAGACCACAACCTACTACTTGGTAAGATAGAAAAATATGGGTTAGACAACATCACTACCAGATGGATTCATAGCTGGCTGACCGACCGTACTCAGCATGTGGTCCTCAATGGAACTGCATCTACATGAAGGGAAGTGTGTAATGGGGTGCCCCAGGGCTCTGTTCTGGGCCCAGTGCTCTTCAACATCTTCAATTATTTGGATGAGATGGGGAACTCATCAAATTTGTAGATGACACCAAGCTGGAAGGAATAGCCAACACTCCAGAAGATAGGCTTAAGATACAAAAGAGTCTTGAGAGACTTAAATATTGGGCGCTATCTAACAAAATGAAATTCAGTGGTGAAAAAAAGTATGATTCTCCATTTAGGCAAGAAAAAACAAATGCACAGGTACAGTATAAGTGATACCTGGCTCAATAGTAGAGGGACCTTGGAATCCCAGTGGACAATCAGTTAAATATGAGCCAACAGTGTGCTGCAGCTGTCAAAAAAGCCAACACAGTGCTAGGCTGCATTAACGGAGGGATAGAATCAAGATCATGTGAAATGTTAATACCACTTTATAATGCCTTGGTTAGGCCCACTTGGAATATTGCATCCAGTTTTGGTCACCATGATATAAAAAACATGTTGAGACTCTAGAAAGAATACAGAGAAGAGCAACAAAGACGATTAGGGTGATTGGGGGCTAAAACATATAAAGAACGGTTGTTGGAATTGGGTATGTCTAGTCTAATGAAGAGAAGGAAAGGGGTGACATGATAGCAGTG